TCCTGCTGTAACAGAAAGGACATTTGAAAAATTACAGGTGAAATAACAGTAACCCAGTTCCAAACCTGACTCACAGAATCTTTCTTTCTTTCTTACTTAAAGGAGTAAAAAGGTGTCATGATGATTTTGTTGTTAGTGTTTTGTTTTTTTTTTGAAGTCTTAATCTTCAGTTACCTCTACCCCAACATTTCTGTCTTACCTAACGCTTGCTACAGAACCTTGTTAAACTAAGTAAATGCAACTGGTGCTGCAATCACAAACCACCTAGGGGAAATCATTTATAAGGGTGTTTCTCAGTTAGTTCAGCAGTTGTAGCAATTCCAGTGAATTTTCTGTGTTCTTATTTTCCTGCCTGCATTTGAAAAACATTCAGTCCTCTATGACAGGAGAGGTATGTGCATAGAGTTTATAAATATATATGTCTGGTATACAAATCATGCTTTTTTGTGTGAAAGATTTAGAAAGAATTGTTTGATACAATAGTGGCTATTTGGTGATGGGTTAGGCTTTTGCTCATCTTTGAATATGAAAGCTATGGAAGAGTGATCAGTAGGTAGACTGAACAATTTTATGTCACAAATTGGGTGTACTGTTGTCATGAGACTGGCATAACATTTGAGATTTTATAATGCAGAAAATAATCGTTCTTTGTTTCCTTTGTGAATTCAGGTTTTTTTTTTTGTGGTTCCTTACAGTGTTTAGATTTCTTTTATAGTCAAGAAGCTTAGGAATTTCCCCCTCCCCTTCTTTGACCTTCTGTAATAATTTCTTGTAAAGAGCTGAACATTCAAGGAAATATAACTTTTATGATTGGCAGCATAAAAAAGCGTAATGTTTTCTGACTGGATTTCATCATCTATTATACTTAAATTGTGGCATGTCATGATGGACACATTTTAGCAGTTAAGCTTCTTCCTACCATCTGCAACATGCAGAGTATGTGTATTTGTAAAGGAATGAGCTAGCAAGATTCTTAATTTTTTGGCTAGCAACACCTGATTAAAACATGGTATACATTCATATGAAGCAACAAGAAAATGAAGAGGAATTTGCAGCACTTAAAAGAGACTTCATATTTATACAGTAGGATTCAGGTAAATGTAAAAGGTGCAAATACTTCCCTCCTTAGTTACTGTTTTTGAAAACAGTGGTACTGCGTATATCACAGATGAAAGTGCGTAAGCTTTTCCTGTTGCATACTTAATCTGTAAGACTATTTCCTGCTTTGCAGAAATTAGTTAACAATTTCAAAAGTTACACAAGCATGGTAGCTTCCCCAGCATCTTTAGATAGAAATATGGAAAGCAGGAAAATCCTAGACTCTGGAAAAGCTGCTGGAAGAAGTATCTGCCTGAGTGGGGTCTAAAATTCAAAGATTCTTGGGTCTTTTCATAATTCATGTAATTCATTTTGCACAGTTTTTTTAGACTTCTGTGAGACCTGTGATAATGCAAACAAAGCAAGTGAAGCTCTAGAAGTAAAATACACCTTCATTAAGTATAATCCATTTCTAATTTAAAAAACCCTTATTCTCTGTGAACTTTTTTTTTATAGTATTCTCCTTAAGTGTAAGTGGGGAGAGTCACAAAAGGACTGAAATATTGAAGTCTTCAGTAATTGCATGTTCCCTGGCTTTCTTCTAAAGAAATGTTTGGAAGATATTTTTGAGGCGTTGAAATTTTTTTACATGGGGTTTTCTTTTTTTTTTTTTTCCCCAGGGAAATAGGTACTAATATTAACAAAGAGAATAGAGTTCTTAATGATGTGCTTTTTTTTTTTTTTTTTTGATGCCTTGCCTTCTTTAATGTGTTTTCCAATTTCCTAGTAGGCAGGAAGCTGGATACATGTGTGGTTTTCCCTGTTGACACCCTGCAGTGTCCCTGCAGAATGCATTAATTGTATTTAAACTTTTGTGGTTTTGAACTTTTGTGTTGTCTGTGAATGATGTAGTGATACATTAGTATCATATATGGATTAGTAATATCATTATATGGATTAGTATCACTGTATAGATTAGTGATACATTATCAAAAGTGATACACTGCTTTGTACAGGAATGCATAATGAATTTTGAATGCATTTTAAATACATTTTTTTAGTGCTTAATGAATACTGTGTAAGGAACCAAACATGGAGAAAATTTCATGTTTATGTTCCTTCTTTTTTCTTCATTTCTTAATATGTAACTGAAATGGGGAAGAACAACAAAAAACACCCAAAGCCAAATTACTGTTACCCCCTACCTTCTCAAACACTTAGTGTCCTGTCAACTGAAGAATGATGTGTGTCTGTTTAACTTTGAGGAGCGGTTTTTGTTTCTGACTCTGGGAAAAACTAAGAACTAGGAAAATAAGGTTCTCATTCTCTAGAGCTCTGTGAAAGGAAGCTTGAACTTCTTAGGGCATGAGTGGACTTGCATTTGAATCCAAAATTTGTTTTTTTTCGGCTACATACCTTCCAAAGGGAAGTATTTCCTTTACATTTTAAGAAGTAAATATTTTTTTTATGCCAATTTCCCTGAAAAGTGTTCATGAACTACATTAGCTTCATTTGTTAAACTGATTTCTTTTGACAGAAAAGGAAAATATTATGTATACAATGAACATATGACTCTACAAAGCAGACCATGATGTTTGCTCTTGCAGGCATTACTGTATATGAAGCTAGTGGATTATAGAAATGATTTGATAAATGTATAAACATTTTCAGAATGAGGAGTTCTCAATTCGTCATCTTTTCTGTACTATTTCTGCCTACACCAGCTTGTACTTCAGGATCCTAGTTTACTTACTGTACTTAGGTCTTTGAGTTGTTTCTGTGTTTGACTTTGTTTCCAGAAAAACACAACAAACCTGAGATCATTACAGCATGCCATAGTAATTAATAACCTTTAGTTTCTGTTTCTGGAGGAGACGTGATAATTTTAAAGGATATTTTAATCTAAGATCAATTGGTAGAGAGATAAGGGAAAGCATTAGCTTGTTTTGTTCTAACAGATGAATTTGTTGCGAAGACTGACCATCAAGTGGCTGAGATAGCTTCATTATTTTAGATGGATAGCTAATTACTGTCCTTTTGTTATTATTCCTATTTCTGTCCTTCCTGTGGTGGTTGTGAATTAGCTTTGTTCCATTTTCTAAAGTATCAGGCGTTTTTATACATTTGGTATATTGAATGGCAAATACTTGATGTAAAGTCTGCAGTTTTACTCCATAACCAGATTGTAAAATATGAACTGAATTAATCATAACTGCAAAGAGTAATGGCACATTTTCTCTTATTTTATCTTTACTGCCTTTCAGATCGTGGTTTAAAACCTTCTACATCTGGTGCACAGAATGAGGCAGCAGCTTTGGTAGTGGATAGCAAGAGGCAAAGGTCAAACCAGAGGCTGCACAAATATTGTGCACTGGATTTATTGTTTTAATTAAGACTGTGGCAGTTCATCATAAACAGTTTATGGTGTTTTTGCACAGTGCAGCATTTTGAAATCAGCTGTTTTAATGAAAACATAATGTCATATCTGTCAAAGTTCTAAATATTTTGAAAGTGAAATATGAAAACAAGAACTTTAATTCTGGGTTTACTGGGATTAGCTCTTGGAATTGTTTTAAAATCCCTTATGTGCCATATCACAGGTAGCATAGTTCTGTGTTAGAGAGGGAATGGAAAGTACTATACAGAGATTGTTATTTAATTGTGAAAATATATGCTGAGGGTTAATGTATTGAAGGACAAAGCTGTTATGATTTGCATTGGAATGCTAGAAGTAAGGCATAAACAGAGATAAGGCTCTTCCTTCTTCATAAGCAGTATGTAAATGCTGAGTTCTGATTGTGCTTAAAAATAAAAACAACAAACCCCCCCAAAAAAACCCAAATGGAGGAATCCTTAAACCTGGAAAGAAAGAAATATGCTGTGGGTCATATGATGCCGTGATGTATTAGCATCAGGGTCTTTGCAGCTAATTATTTACAAGGCCTAATGTCTTCCTGTGGAATTTAAGGCTGAGCATTTTGTAGTCTAGCTAGTTTCTAATATTGTTATGTATTCATGTAGATATGTAAGGCAATTTTGGTTACATTTTTTGTATGGTCTGATAAAATATTTGTATAATCTGAAAATTATATTTTTGTGGTATTCTCCTTGGAAAATAGAAATTAAGTCTGTCATTAGATGCTAGGCCACAGTAGTTGACTGAACAGGGTAATGTATGTTGCATTTTGTGCTATACTTGGTCAAGTTTCATATATATTGTATTCCATGTTATTTTATTAAATTTAATATCTGCACTTCCTATTACCAGACATGCCTCTCATTCAAAGCACAGAGGCACAGTTCTCTAATCAGAAGTGACAAGCTATATACTTTCTTTCAGCCATTATTTGGTAGCCTAGAGCAAGGAGCTCTGTTTCCTTGAAAATGTTTTGAATTGGGTTATTTTTATTGAAGTATTAAAGTAATTCTTCAGATTTTAGGCTATTATTTAAGTACTTTTGGGGGAATGCAATAACCTCTGGATTCTCTAGCCTTTGTTATGTTAACAATTGTAGCTGCTAAATGTATCTTTTTAATGCTTGTTATGTAAGTGTCTGGAAAAATATCTGATTGATAGAAACTAACAATATTTAGGAAATAAACAAGATTAGTTGGCTAAATTAGTTTTCTATTGAAGTATAATATGAAAGTGACTCACTATTTAAATATACCGCTAGAGTATGGTGACTATACCTTTACCAGCAAATGAACAAGGTTAACTGTTTGCTAATGTGTTGAACATATGAACAATATGAACATATGAAAAGTTCATGTTTGGCAGATTTAATCTTAGAGAATCTGAATGTTATAGTTTCCTATCTTAAGGCAGTCTGTTGCTTCCAATGATGTTGGTTAAAGCTCTCTAGAAAAACATCTACTATTTAGGTTTGCTGGATATCTTTATTTGGAAGGACTTCTGGAATCTCTGCTAATTTTGTAACTCCTTTTCCATTTTTTTAAAGATATAAATCAGTGTGGAAATGTCAAAAGAGGTAGAGTAGATTTGCTATTGAAGGAGAAAGGAAGCAGTTGTCCCAAACTTCAAAGATGGGTGGCCTTTGCACCTCTTCTGAAATAGTAAGCATCAAAGAGAAACCTCAAGGTGAGCAGCTTTACTGTGGGTGTAGTTTTTTTGGGGTACAGATGTTTATGAAAGGTGATCTTAATGCGTTGAACACTTCTGTATTGCTTCCTTTGTGTTCTGTGTGTATTCATGTGGGGAGATGTGTGAAGTGTAAGAAAAGAACTGCCAATATTTCTTAGAACTGGGTGAACAATGTGAAGAGATGCAGAGTGTTGTTAGCAGGTCTCCCTGACATCAAAAGAAGTATTGCCCTTTGTTAAGTGGAGACAGTGAGCCTTGAGAAACTTTGCAGTGATGTTGATGTACACAGGAGAGAAGGATAATGCTAAGGAGCTAACTCCAAACTTGAATAAGGATCTATTCTTCTAGGCAAACATCATTTTTCCCAGAAACAATTTAGTAATAATTTTCTGCTAGTTGTAGGCATTATTCATAAATTGTTGCCTTTGTAATCTTGCCTTTTTTTTTTCTTTCCCTTGAGTTTGTGTTAGCTTTTGAGAGCTTTCTTTTGTTAGTATGCTTGATTGATACTGCTTAATAGGACCACGGTATTAACAATCAACTTCCTTTATCAGCGTTTTATGCAATTTTGGTGTATTTAAAAATGCAGTGGACTTAATAGCAATGTTTGACCAGGATTATCCTAGATCTAAACAGAGACTTGTGTGTGTATTATTGCTTCCAAATTTTGTTATTTTCTAATTCAGATGAATGAAAATGTAGCAGATCCACAGGCAATGTAGATAGTGCTGAGCAAGGAAAGAGAAGTAGAAAGTACTCATGAGCATGGGAAAGTGGGAAGACTTGCAGAAAATGTAAGAAGTAGGTATGCTGAAAATGGGGTTAAGTTCCATTTTACTGGCAGACACAGTGGTTTTGTGTGTAGTTTTCATTAAGTAATTACATGCATACTATACCGTTTGATTTGCAAACGCAAACTGTATCACATGTACAAAATAAATGACTGTTCTATGGAAAATATGGCCCTGAATAGAATTCGGGAATGACAGTTCTTACAGTTTGGTGGAATTAAGAGTTACAATTCAACTATGTAATTAACTTCTTTGAAATGAATTTGTCACTATGTGAAAAACAAGAATAGGTAATATTGAAGTGGTTAATACTAAAATAAATGAAATGGGCAAGAACTGATGTGCTCTAATAGAGTAAAAATCTATCAGAGGTGACTGAAACATGTTAGAAATTAAAACATTAATAATAACCAGCAGTACCCAGAGAGAATGAAAACGTCAACAGAGTAATGACATTAAATGTCCAAAATGTTTTGTAAGATGCTGAGTGATACTTTGAGAAGATACAGAGTGGCAGGAGAGGGCTTCAGGTAGAAATGGAGATGAAAAATACAGGACATTCTGAGAATAGCTGAAGGCAGTGAACATATTAGGGGGAAGTATCTTATTCTGGCCCTGTTTTCTTCATACCTTCTGCTTACACCCAGTGTTGGTGACAGAGTACTATGTTAAATTTCCTGTTGATCTGCGGCTGTGACTTGAGCTTTAGAGTCTGAGTGTGCATCACCCTGAATGGTGTGTGAGTGATGGAGAATCCTTACTTCCATGCCTACTGGCAGTAGGAGTGAGTGCCATCTCCTTCTATCTGCAGACACATGAGGAAAGGTTAAGTGTCTAAACAGACATGCAAGGGCATGCCATGACATTCCCCAGTACCCTGACCACTATCTGGCCTCTGTTTTTGGGGTGAAGTTGGGTTATGGCCTTGGTATACAACTACAGAAACAGCTTGAAAATGCTTCTGGGTTCCCTTGGTTTAATGTAAGAGTAGTCAGCTAAATGTTGCTTGGTACTTATTACATTCTATGTCTAGTATTTAAGGGTACTTTAGAGATGGTCCTGCAAGTTAGGAGTATGTAAGGCTGCTGGTACATGCTAAACTCTATAGTAAATGCTGATGCACGATATACTTCGCACTCAACAATCTGCTTCATAGGATATCGTTCTGTGTTACCCAGAAAAATGACCGTCAGAAATTTGTTAGCAGTGGAAGCATGTGGGGAAAAAGATTGCTCTTCCTATTCTGCAGTAATATGGGCTACTTTTAACCTGTTTTTATTCACTGCTTATAGCAATCCAGCATGTTGGATTTGATCTGGGTGTTGCTTGGTGAACTGTTGTGGCAAAAGTAAGTCAGACTAAGTAGGACATGTGATTCCTTTTAGCCTTCAAAAAATTTATGGATCCTTTTCAGACATGTGGATCTGTAGCACTATTGATGCATACTAAAATTTGTTCAGTTCTTTGTTAAAATGACATGATACGGCTTTCACTTAAGAAAGAGGTGAATAATTTCATTAACATATAAAGCAAAACCTTCCCAAACATATAATAACATGTAAACATTTCAGAACTTTTATTTTCAAAACCTATGTGTGTAAAATTTGGAAAAATGTCTGTTACTTGGCAGGGCAACATGCAAACTGTTCAGCATTTCAGTGATATTGGATGCGCATAGGAACATCTTATATATTAGCTTATATGTCCTGGATTTCAAAAAAGCATCCGTGTTTCTGGAGAGAAAATGTATACTGTCCCTAACATGCATTTAAATAAAAGCAAAAAATCTAAAGAAAAAATGGAAAAAAATTTGCTTCATTTAAAACTACTACTCCTGCTTTCGGAATACACAAGTTTTTGCTAATTGTTTGTACAATTTCATTTGTAGGAAAAAAAAATTGCTGTTAAGAATAATGTGGACATAAAATGACAAAAGGATATGTGAATGAATCCAATGTCTAGTTTTCACAAAAGAGAAATATTTATCCCTAAATGGGACAGATAAATAGTATTTGGGATCTTCTGTTTAAATGTTAGTGGAAACCAATGCAGTGGTAAAAATTATGAAATCACATAAGAAGAACATTAAAACGTTTTTCTCTTAATTTTTCTCATATAAGTATCTGTATTTTGAATATTGACTATTAGAATTTATTTTGTTAAATAGTGCTAGCATATTATGTGGTAATTTAAATGATGCATTGTTAACAACTCTGTAAGTAGCATTTTTAATGAAAAACCATAGCTTGATAGGCCAATTTCTATAGTCTTAAAGCAAAAACCACCAGATATTTATTGTAATAATCTACAGCAAGTTCAAAAGAACAGAAATACCTGAAAATATATTAAGATATATGTATGTACATTGGATATTAGTGTTGTATATAAAATATATTGGGAATGTGGTTTCAAAATATTTCAAACATTGTTGACCTTTGTTATGTAATACCAAGCTCAGGGAAATATATTTGCATAGATTTAGTAATATGTTGTAAATAACTGCATAGGACAGTGCACATTTTTCCTTAAGAATGCAGCATTATAAGCAAGACATTAAATTATGCCTATCAGACAAAGCAGCAGAATCTCAACATTTTTTTATAGCACATTCTATTGGGAAGACATCTCTGCTTCTAAAAAGCACATGCATTAACTGCCTGATTCATGTGGTGACATGTGGCATATCCAAATGTGTTATGGATCTCCCAGGAATAAAAACAACATAGCAAAATCATCACCTTGGGATGTTCATTGAGTGAATATTTTACAGATATACTCCTTTTATATTTATATAATAATTTAGTGTTATGACAATTTTTTTAGCAGTGTTGGCAGTTTTTCTTTTTTATAATGGTATTATATTTGTGAGCCTATTAAGTGCACATGGGCTGAACTACAGAAAAAAGTATTTTTCATAATTCCTTAGGGTGCTTGTAGCGAAAGAACCATATTGGTATAGAAAAATGTTAATAAAAGGTCAAGCAGAACTTTCCTATGTTTATCGTGATAGCAATAGCAATTTGGGGCTTTTTCAATTATATGTCGAAGAAATAGATTTATGGAGTGTATAGAGAAGAAACTATACCTACTATACTTTTCACTTGAACTCTTTATTAAGAGACCCATCTAAGCAAGAATCAAAGTAATTGATTTCTACAATTTTTCCTTTTAAATATCAGGAAATTAGTGTGAAACTGTATGAAGTGAGCTGAAGAAGTTTGCTTGTTTTGCTATGTTTTGTGTTACAACTAGTGCTACATACTCTAGAATCAAGAATGATGCTTACCTCAGTGATTTTTGCTGTTCTAGAGACCTGGCATTCAAAATAGGAGCAATGCTTTTGGTAGAGTGTGTTTATGTACAACAGGTAAAGAAATGCTGGCTTATAATTTAGGAATTAACTGTTTGTCTTCATGCATCATCGCATCCTACTCACCTTACACTTATTTGCACTGAAACAAGGGCCTAGCTGGGGTAATGTTGAGCAACTCTTGAGTCTTCTAGATTCTGAGCTCAAATTTTGATTTTATTATTCTTTTAGATTGTTTCTTCTTGCAGAAATGTTATGTTTAATTCTAGAATAGATTTGTCTATTTGGAGTATACAGATTATAAAATGGTTTCCATGTATATACAACAAATTTGAAGTAATAAAAGCCAGATAATGCACGCGTTGACTATCTCTAAATAGAATGAAAACTGTCTGATCCAAATGTCAATGGTACCCTGCAAGTTTTCTTTCAAATTGACCAAGTGTGTGGTCTTGCACCCTTGAAGTGTAATTTTTTTTTTGTTTTTGTTTTTTTTTAAAAATATTTAGGTACAAGGCTTGATGGGATTAACTATGGCATGAATACATACATGTGTCTTTACCATCTTTTGCAATTACTAGTGACTTCTCAGTGAGAAAGTAGTAGCAAATCTGGTTTGTGCATTAATTTGCTTGAGTGTCTGTATCCTAAGGCAAATAAATAAGTTTTTTTCAGTGTCTTCCTAGTGATAGGAGCAGGCCATGAACTTCAATATAATGCTAATGAATGGTCACTCCTGGTAACTGGATTAGGATTAACTGCTACAGAGTCTTTCAGTCCTGATGAGCTCAGAAGACATGGATGATCTCCAAATGACAATGCAAGTGTCTTCAGACCCAATATTGTGATGATGCTAATTTTCAGTTAATTTTATGTTTCTGCTTCAACAGATAAAACTGCGCTAGGTGCATGTAGCAGTGTATGTACAGTGCATAAATGATATTAAGAATTCTGAACTAGATGCTTCTCTACCTTATTTATAAAATGCAAAAATAATTTTCTTCAACTGCTTTGTAAATTTTTCTCTTGCTAGTATGCTATGCTTTAACTATGTGCAAGTTACAACACTGTTATGCTGCAGATTAAAATGCCGACCGCAGAAAAATACTGCATCTCCTCAAAATAGAAATGTATTTTCTGTGCAAAAGTGTAGATAAAGGCTATTTTCTTGAAATTGATCCAAGCTGGCTCCACAGGAACAGAAGCATGAGCATCCAAAGTAGCTGTAACAGCAGGAAATTCACTTTTCATTGCCATTTTGCTGTATCCCTTGTGAGAAGGGTTGAAAATAGTGCAGGGAAACTACAGGAAATCTATATCAAATTTTCTTAGAGATCTATCTTTTTGTTTAGCAATTTTCCATTGTATCATATTAGTTACTGTATTTAGTAGTACTGTTTGGCAGAGAAAGTAGTGGTGAATTTTATGTTATCAAAATTATATTAAGAATTAATAAAGTGTTAATGAAGAGCAAATGATGTTGGTAAAATAAGGTATATAAAATATATAAACAGTATCAGGTTTGCCAGTACAAACTGATATTTAATATGTTGCTTAATATCTGGTGTCAAGTTATTAATGGTTTCCACTTTTATCATATGGTCTAGAAGAAATATGTCCATTCAACATTTAAATATATAATTATTTTCCCTTTCTTTTTAGAAAAATCTTTTTTGTGCATCACAAGGCTTCCCTGAAAGCTTTGTTGTGCAGTGAAATTGTGATGCTTTTCGCATGTATTGAAATCTGTAGGTACACCTTAAATAGGCAGGAGTTAGAGAACTAAGCTACACAGAATCCACAAAGTGAAGATGAAACATCTTGAACATGAGTATGATAATAAAGCATTGAAATTCCTATGAATTTCTGGTGAGAAGTACAGATGGATTGGTACTCAGTTATTTGGCAGGCAAGAAAAATTTATCTTAGAAATTGTCAATTCAGTTTTTAATTCTGAAATGTTTGAGTTTCACTTCAGAGTTTTGAGATTCACTGTATGTTTTGGTTCCCAGCTACCAGGATGCACCAGTAGTGTTGAGGCATGGCATGAAGCCTAAATTAATAAGCTTTTTTGGGTTTATGAGGCTGGGCCCTGTGCTGGCACTGCCAAATTGGGCAGCTGTGGGAGGAGGGAGGTAGCAGCAGGGGTCAGAAGAACAAAGGACAGAAGACAAGAAGACAGCATCAGGCAGTAGTAAGAAGCAATGTGGTTAATAGGAGGGAGGAAAGGGAAGGTGGTGAGGAGGTGAAGGAGGCTGGTCATGAGGAGGAGAAGATCATTCCAAAAAGAAAACTGGGGACCAAGAACCTATTTCATTCGATGTAACATACAACGTGAGACCTGGTATGAGTTATTTCTCAGCTAAAACAGTTATTTTCCTGAAATGCACCTCTTGGAACTTTTAGGTATAGAACAGGTCTCTACTGTAACCATTGGAATATGTATGCCCTGTT